TTTCTTTCTTTCTTTCTTTCTTTCTTTCTTTCTTTCTTTCTTTCTTTCTTTCTTTCTTTCTTTCTTTCTTTCTTTCTTTCTTTCTTTCTTTCTCATGTACTCACTTTATTTATCAAAGTGGCAACAGTGAAGCTTCATTTTAACCTTAGGGTCTCCATCCTTTGCTCTTTATGCATATTTTTAAGGGATTAAAAAAAACAACAACAATATGAACAGAAGGAATGATTACAGAGCAAATTTTCTCACATTGTAGGTGTGGTACCTGCAAATTCCAGAAGGTGGAAGCAGAGTTACAAAAAATAGAATTCACTTAATAAGTTCATAGTAAAAACAAATAAATAAATATGAGCAAAAAATACAATTAAAGATAAAAAAACAGTAGATTTAAATACAGATATAATAGATTTATGGGACTTGTTTTTAATTGTGAACACAGAAACAGGAAAATTCTCTGCAAGCATGAAGCTATAAAAACCCAAATATAAACAAAACCATTCAATAAAACCAGAAATATACTATGACCCCCAACATATTTTGAAACAAGTATAAACCGGGGAAAAATAAAAATTTTTTTATTGTGTGTAATAGTAGGTGTTATTACAACATGAATGAATCTTGTGTCTCCAGTATAGACATGAGACATTTTTCAGAAACACAGATGAAGAAAGCAGAGCTTATCTAAATAATAAAACAACAAACATCCAGCTTGAAATATTAAGATACATAAAACATCTAACTTGTTTAAATGAAGTGAAGTTCATTGTAAGCTTAACTGCAGATGGATGTTTGCTGTTTAACAGCAGGCAGGTAATAAAGTATTAATCAGCCCCAGAAGTCACTGTCTTTGCTGGTGATTGTTGCTTGAAAGAAAAACTATTCCAGTTCAATTCGGTATTTTTTTTAGTTTACTTCTGTTGCACAGGTACCATTTTGCATTTTTGGGGGAGACTGGCCTGCAAGGCTGTATTTCTCATACCGTGAAAGCTCACCAGAGATTCTTTTTCCTGTTTCAATTAATATTTGTCTTTTGGTTATTTTTTTTCAGTAACATCTGTGCAGTTGTTATCTGGCAGAAACTTGAATGTAAATCTTGCTTCTTCTTCCGGTTGCGCCCTTTAGGGATCGTCACAGCAGTTCATCTGGGTCCACCTCACCCTATCCCTAGCACCCTCTTCTGTCCCACCAACCCTCTGCATGTCCTCCTTCACTACATCCACAAACCAAAATATATATATTTTGCCTTTTAACTGGCTTTTTTTGTGTGATAGATACAGCAAAGGTCGAAAGGAAAGTGGAGGGAAAGAGAGAAGGGAAGACATGCAGCAAAGGGGCACGGCTTGGACTTGACCCCGGGTCACCCGCTTTCAGCCATGCGGCATATGGTCACCTGCTCATCTGATTGAGCTAAACCGGCGCCCGGCACCTCGATATTTAACATCCTTTGTCGAATACATGCACTATTCCTTCTCTGCACATGTGCGAACCATCTCAACCCCGTCTCTCTAATCTAGTCAACAAACCTTCTCCACCTGAGCTGTTCCTCTGATGTAATCATTTCTGAATTTGCTCATTCTGATCACAGTGAAAATCTCTGCATCTTCAGCTCTGCCACCTCCAGCTCCACGTCCTGTCATTATTGCAGGTCTCACTACCATCTTGCAATTCTTCCCTTTCACTCTTGCTGCTGTCCTTTAATCATGGCTCCTTTATTGTGGCTCAAGAGTTGGGAGTTTGCCTTGTAATAGGAAGGTTGCCGGTTTGAGCCCTGGCTTGGACAGTCCCGGTCGTTGTGCCCTTGGGCAAGACACTTCACCCATTGCCTACTGGTGGTGGTCAGAGTGCCTGGTGGCGCCAGTGTCTGGCAGTCAATGCGCCCCAGGGTGGCTGTGGCTACAATGTAGCTTGCCATCACCAGTGTGTGAATGTGTGTGTGAATGGGTGGATGACTGGTTTTGTAAAGCGCTTTGGGGTCCTTAGGGACTAGTAAAAGCGCTATATAAATACAGGCCATTTACCATGTTAAATGGACTGATTTTTGTATAGTGCTTTTCTACTCTTGTGAAGCACTTAAAGCACTTTGTACAACATGTCTCATTCACCCATTCATACGATCACTTTCTTATGCTTAAGTGTTTTTCTATCTGATATTCACACACATTCATACTCCGATGGAGGCATTGGAAAGCAACTTGGGGTTAGTATCTTGACCAAGGACATATGGCATGCAGACTGGGGCAGCCAGGGCTCAAACCACCAACGTTCCAATGAGTAGATGGCTTGCTCTACCTCCTGAACACAAATCACCTCTCACAGTTGTCTCCACCTAATCCACACAGCTTGTACCGTGTTGTTTGCCTGTCTTGTGCATTTTCTGTTGCCCTGGATGATTGACTCCAGGGAGATACATTTGTCCACTGTCACTATCACAACTCCTTGCATGTTCATGTTCTCATTCACACACCTTCTGTCTTCCTTCTTCTTGCTTTCATTCCTTTTTCCTCCACATAATGCCTCCACCTCTTCAGATTCTCAGCTACCAGTTCCATACTCACTAAAGATCACAATGCCATCAGCAAACATTGTAGTCCTTGTCTGCCCACCCGTCTATTACCACAGCAAACGAGAAGGGGCAAAAGTCACATCTCTAGAGCTCTTTATGGCATGAAGCCATACAACTGCTCACCGATCACCAACTCTCTTCTTAACCTGCTTCAGCTACTGTTTCCTGTAGCTTCTCCCTCATCAGCATTCTCATCAGCATTCTCCCTCTGTAGTTGATACAGCGCTGCACATCAGCCTTGTACTTGAAAATTGGTACCTGTACACTTCTTTTCAATCCCTCAGACATCCTCTTGTTCTCCAGGATTGTGTTAAATAATCTGATGAAAAAGTCCACTGCCTGTATGCTAGACAGTATCATCTAGGTCAACTCCCCGTCTGCTCTTCATAACCGTGGAAACTGGAATGTAAATAAAGCTCCAGAATTTTTTTTTAGCATGTTTGTTAAAAAAATAAAAAACATATGACACTTAATTTAACAGGTATCTCTTCCACAGCATGTCTTTTGCCCTGTCTTCTTCCCTCACCCCCCTCCCTGAGCCTGATTCTGCTGGAGGTTTCTTCCTGTTAAAGGAAGTTTTTCCTTTCCACTGTTGCCAAAGTGCTTGTTCATACGGGTACATATGATTGTTGGGGCTATCTCTGTTGTTTTATTGTAGGGTCTACCTTACAATATAAAGTGCCTTGAGGCGACTGTTATTGTGATTTGATGCTGTATAAATAAAACTGAATTGAACTGAATTCAATTGTATGGCAGTAACAAGGCCTGGGTGCAGCTACAGAAATGTTTTGAAACAACAGAGGGTTATTACCTTTTCACAGAGGCCCAGGTATAGACAGCATTTTATTCCCTTTATAAAAGAAATCATTATTTAAAAATTAAATTTTTA